TACGTGTCAACCTGTGCTTAACGAGAGGCAGCTGCTCCCACAAGCTCACCTGGGAGTGTTGGCTGTTCGATGGAGTCCCTCTTGCACTCTCCACCCTGCGGTGTGGGTCAGAGTGCGGCTGGTTCGGCCTGCTCTCCGGACCCTGGTGTATGACTGGATCGGTCTGTTCTCTGGATCCTGATGTGCAGTGCGTTCTGTCCCTCACACAATATCAAAGTAGACGTATAACTAGGAGCTGCCTAGATATATATTTATGAAATTATTATGACAAATGAAAGAAATGGCTGAAGTAGGAGTATGGCAGAGTAAAGTCGCACTGGTCACTGAAGTGTTCTGGGCATTGATGAGGTTGGAGTATTATCGCTTTCTCCAGTGAAGTGTACGGTGTGTTTATGAGGTTGGAGTATTATCACTCTTTATTAAGCTGTCGTTTTGCAGAGCTGTTAGTTGCTTGTAGCACTGGTGCTAATGTAGCTCTGACCAGACCTTTGTTTTATATTGAGTGGTGCCTGTGCAGAAACGGCAGAATGGGGTGCCGCATATGGGTTTATCGCTTATGCATGTGGGCAGCGGGAGAGCTTAGTAGGATCTTTTGGAGCCTTTGCCTGGTATTTTTGCTTCTGTGCTGTCAGTGGTGATCAGCCAGATCCCTGCGATCCTGCCTTAAGGGGTGATCATGCAGAGTAATGGCGGCGACACGTCTGTCCATCTGTCTGTCCTCGGGGAGAGTCAGGCTCTCCAGGAAGCCGAGGCCAGTCGCCACCACGAGGAGCCGAACGGATAAGTGTGTCAGGGGGAGTAAAAACAGAGCCAAGCGGCCGGGGAGGCGGAGTCCCACACAGGAAATGGGGCGGCGGCCAGGGGAGTAACTGAACGTCCCTGCCAGGGCGGAAGTGGCTGGATCCGGAAGGATCTAAAAATAAAGGCGAAACGAGTGCGTGTGAGGGTGGGAGTGCAAAGAAAAGGACACTCCGGTCAGAACAGGTGGGGAGGAGCAGCAGCAGGGACGCCGGGCAGCCGGAAATGCGGAGGGAAGCGGCAGTGTAAACAGCAGGCCGCTGGAGACCTGCTATTACGGGCGTAGGCCTCGTCCACAGCCTACCAGCCAGCTTTTTCCAGTTTCGATAACTTTTCGCCTGTTACGACTGGAGTTTAAAATAATGAGGCGTATAACTAAATGTGGGTTTGCGCTGGGTGCCTTGGGATGCTGGTGTGGTTCTGAGATGTGGTGCTGCTGTGCGTGTCGTCTGCGTGTCGTCTGCGTGTCGTCTGTGCATGTCTGCCCTGTGTTTCCTGGGTGAGACCCGGCTCAGCACAGGCCTGCGTCAGAAGAGCCTACCCGGGAAAATGAATCATTTCAAATGAATGAAAACAGTGTTACCTTAAATATACAGCATCTCCTCGCAGTAAATGAAACGTCTGTCACCTGTACGCTCGCTGCTTAGTGCGTACAGGCAATGTGTCGATAACTAGACGGACAGTGGTGAAGTCTGGTTAGCAGGCTGATCTTCATCCTCATGGCTGTGGCTGTTTGATCTCTCCTCTTATACCTTGACCTCCGCACCATTCAGTCTTGCCTCCTTGCCTGCCCCCCACCCCCCGGACACAAAGTAATAATAATCAATTTCCCACAGAGAGGGCTCTGACATTGGGTTCTCAGACTGCAGGATGTTATTTCCTGCCCTGCATCCGCTTCGTAATTCCATGTTAATGGCTTCCTGCTCTTCTGCTTTATGCCTGTGCTGCTGTCCTGAGAGACCTTCAGGGCAGCCGCTGGGGCTCCGAGCACAGATACCCCTCCGTCTCCCAGCTTCTCCTCCAGCGTGTCGTTAACGCCGGGGTGGGCTGGCTTCCCAGCATGCCTTGCTGCTGTGCTCAGCCAAGCCCAAGTGGGTGCTGCTCACCCATGCGATTATGCGGGAGACCCAGCGTTTGAGTCTAGCGCTCTGATAGAGGTGTTAAGGGTCATGCTGTACACAGTCATGCTGAACGCTGGCTTGCTTGCTTAACATCAGAATGTAATGCAGTCAAACCACTAGACAGAGGAGTCCATCAGGGTTTGTACAAAACGAAGCAGAAGCTTTCTCTGTAGGATTATTATTATTGTTGTCCTCGCATTTAATGCGACGCCCCATTTCTCATGCTTTCTCGCCGTTCTCGGGATTGTGGCGCCAGGAAACATGCTCTGGCTTAAAGCCCCCGTGCGGCGATGAGTCATCGGCAGGCTCCACCAAGGATCTCACAGCTGTTTTGTCATTCCTAGAACTGGGTCAAAACACAGCCCTGTGTCTACTGCCATATTTGGAATTCCCTCTGCCTCACTTATTTGTTGGAAATATTTAGTGTGGCTGTCAGCCCTCTGCTGCGAGTGAGCGCATCCCCCTCATTCCGTCAGCGTCCCCCATGTTCTCTGTGCATTCCTCTGTGTCCCTTGAGTGTTTCCCCATGCCACTAAAGCATTCCTCTGTGTGCAGAGAGCATTCCCCCATGTCCAGAGAGCCTTCCCCCGTGCTCCGAGAGCCTTCCCCCGTGCTCCGAGAGCCTTCCCCCGTGCTCCGAGAGCCTTCCCCCGCGTCCCCAGAGCCTTCCCCCGTGTCCCCAGAGCCTTCCCCCACGTCCCCAGAGCATTCCCCCATACTACGAGAACATCCACTGATGATGAATCTGAGCTTTCTTGGTGAATGTCTTTCCATTCCTTCTCCAGCATTCACATCCTGCCTCAGTGCCTCATTTGAGTGTTCACACTAATCACAACGTAACGCAGCATCAGTGCTCAGTCAAGTAGCTGCTTATGCACTGACATTTCTGATGGGGGTATTTATCTGCATTAAATCCTAACTGTGGGCGGCTTTTAGCTTGACGCTGCGGGAGCGAGTCCAAAGCACACGGCGGCTAGCAGCTCTCGCAAAGGCCTTTGGATGGACGTTTTGTCACCAAGGAATGTCAGGCTGGGGATGTTCACCATAACCTACTGTGACTGTCAGCACCTCTATCATACTCTATCCAGTGTTGAATTATCCTTTCTGTAAAATATGAACCTTTAGTTATGGAGGCTCCTGCTGATAGTTTGAGCAGCAGATGTCTAACTTTGATTTTCAGATATTTCACATGAGCCCCAACTGTCTGCAGTGATTTGATTGGGAGTCCTACTCTCAATGCACCATATGGCCGCCTGCAGATGGAAGATGTTCCTGCCCCTGTCACATGACCCGCCACCGAGCTTTAATCTCGTAATGTGCTTATAGGCGTTGGGGAGCGTCTCTGCTGCTGGGTCGCTGGCGTGCTGGATTTCCTTTGTACGTAACCAGGAAACAGAAGCCCAGAGGATGCTCTGATCTCCCCCTACTTCTCTTTCATGCATTTTCATCAGTCCTGTGGCGCTTCCACAATGAGGTTTACATTCTGAATGGGCATATTTCAGCTCCTAATGATCCACCTGTAACAGCTGAGAGCAGGGAAAGTGGCAGCAATGAGTATCTCTGAGTATCCAGAGTCTGGTCCGTGTACAAGTGGGTAGCTTGGCTGCATTCATGTCGTCAGTGTGGCCAATGTCCACATCAACAGTGTGGCTGTATCTGCATCACCGGTGAAGGGCTGATCATCTGCGTACAAGTTTATGGAAGTTCAGGGGATCGTCTGTTATTCACACTGCATTGAAACGCTATTCAAGTGCGCTACTATTGTACTCAAAGACGTGGACTGTTAGTAGTCACATACGCAGATGCGGGTCAGTGAGAATAGGGAAGTCGTACAGTTAAAATAAGCCTCTGCGTTTGGCTGCTGGGAGCGGCAGCGTGTTTTACCTCAGCGCAACGCCATAAAAGCAGGAACCCAGCATTCATTTGCGTTTGAAAAAGAGAGGGTGAAAAATGGCTTCGCACGTCGAAAGCAAATTTCGGCCGGATGTGTGCGGTGCCCTATTCAGACAGTGCCTGCTGGCGTTTTCCTCACCTGAGCCGCGTTGATGTCACACTGCATCCTTTTTCACGCGTGAGGTTGGTATGTGTGAGTGTGAGGTCACCATCCCCCCGCACCCCTTTTCATGCCTGTGCTCTGCGTTCTCACCTCGCAGCACTGCTCATTACATCTTTAAAGATGTATATATACACACCTAGTGCTGTATGTGCAGTTGCATTCTCCAGATCTCAGGTTTGTTCCAATGTCTATTCCTTTCTTCATTTAAAACCCTTTTTCATGTAATCTAATGAACTAGTGCTAGGTCATGGATTTCTGTAGTGACTGCTTTTCTAGACACCGTGCTTTACCTGCTATAAACACTAGGGCTCCCCTTGAAAGTGAACGATTTGAATATTCAGTCAGAGACTCCGTGAGTCGGCCGATTCTTAATTCGAACAGTCGTTCATTACAATAACGGTATAGATCAGATGGAAGCTTACAAAAGGGATGACATTTCAATGAGGAATTACAAAGAAAGGGGATCAGAAATATAGTTTTGTATTCTAGCAAGGTGCTTGCTTAAAAAAAATGTCCACATTAGTAATTATGTGAGCAGTAGGGAGGCGTGAGTCTCGCCTTAATCTACGGGCTCTGTGGGTTGACGTGTTGTAACTACGGTCTATATAACATACACCATGCTAACTGTTATGCTAAACAGTTTGCTGTTACCTGTTTGAAATGCTGTTCTCTACACCATGCTAACTTTTATGCTAATCACTCTACTGTTTGCTGTGCTGTACACTCCACTAAACACTCTGCGGTCTGTTCTAGAAAACACTTTGCTAATCACGCCCCGCTAAGTGCTAATGCTCCCTTCGCTCATCTCCTTTATGTTTTCAGAAGTGGCACATTTTGCCATGACAACAAGATTTCCGTTGCAGGATTAAAAGCAGCCTTTTCTTCGCGGCCGTCAGAGTGGGGTTTCCCGAGAAAAGGGGCCGGTGCGGTGGATATGATAGCCGCAGAATGACAGGAAATGTGTCCCCAAGGCCTCGCCTTTCCGCTCGGGCCGTGCTGTGAACGGCGCCTCGCCCTCTGCTCAGCTGCAGGACGGCGGTGGCGGCCTTGGGAGCAGAAGGTGGCGCGTCGGTGACGACACACGGACCTCAACGGGACCCGGCTCGAGGCAGGAGGAAGAGGAGCAGATGGGCGCCGTGACCTTCCCCCTGGAGGAGCGCTCCGGCCTGCCCTCGGCCTTCTCCAGCACCCTGGAGAACATCGTCCAGCAGCTGGATGTCCTCACGCAGGTTCAGCGACATTCAAGCATAACGTTACTTCCTCTTAGCAGGGAGCTGGTTTGCCAGCAGTCACATGCAACCCCATGAAGCCCCTCACTGTGAACGAACACTGTTAAGAGCCGCACTGCGACGGTCCTGCTTATGCTCTACCCAGTCCTCAGGGACCAGCAGCCGTCCACAGTTTTGCTCCCTCCCAGCTCCCAAAAGTGTGGTCTGTCTGGGGGTTCCCGTGGCCTGGGTTGAGAAACACTCTAAACCATACGTGCATCGATCTTCGGCCCTTTATCAAAACATATAGTGCTTTGGTTTGGCATCATTGCGACCTGATGATTCTCCTGTAAGTGCAAAAAGTTTTGTACAGAAACTAAAAATTTTGCTCTAGACTGGAAGTTATTTGTAAATATGAAATCGTAGCTGTAGTGTGTAAATGCTGCACCGTAGTTTTAAATGCTGCACTTTAGCTGTAAATGCTAAACTGTAGCTGTAAATGCTGTCACAGCCATATTGAGTAAACGCTGCACTGTAGCCGTAGCGAGTAAATGCTGCACTGTAGCCATAGTGAATAAACGTTGGACCGTAGCCATAGCAAGTAAATGCTGGACCGTAGCCAGAGCAAAGAAATGGTGGATCGTAGCTGTATCGAGTGAATGCTGGACTGTAGCCGTAGTGTATAAACAGTGGACCGTAGCTGTAGCGAGTAAACTGGACCGTAGCCATTGCGTGTAAATGCTGTACTGTAGCCGTAGCATGTAATTACTGGACCGTAGCTGTAGCTTGTAAGTGCTGGACACCGGACAGCCTCTCTGCTCGCTCTCTGCCACAGAGCACACGCTCTCTTCCTTCATGGGGGGCAGCGAGTGCAGCGTGACCCTGGCTGGCCCCTAACCCCGCTCCTCCAGGCTCCCCCACACCCACCCACCCACACACTGAGCGCTCCAGCTGCCTGTCCCGTCTGCCTTGCAGGCGGTGTCCATCATGGAGGAGCGGCTGACCCTGACCGAGGACAAGCTGCGGGAGTGTCTGGAACAACAGGCCAGGATATTCCAGCTGCGCGCAGCCGAGCCAGAGGCCGACAGCAGCTCCCTGAGCTCATCTGCGTAAAGACCCCCCCGCCGAGCTGCGCAGGACAGAGCTGACTGACAATGGCTCCCTGAGCTTGACTGCATAAAGGTCTAACCTCCATCCCCCACCCCCCCCCAGAAAACACCCACAGCTGCAAAACCAGCTCCTCTTGTTTTGTCAGCAGGGGAAAGGCAGAGAACATGCAAATCTGCCCACTTCCTCAGAGCGCCTGGTACAGGTTCACGCAAACGCCGAGGAGCGTCATACACAGCAGTCGTACTGTCCTCCTAACCCAGCACGTGTCTTTGTACTTTCTGTGGGAATTAAAGCACCCTGTTCCCCCTCCTCACAGCTCCGCCTCGCTCTGCTGTCTGTTGTGTCTGTGCCGAGAGGAACCATCTTGTTTACTCATCCGCCCGCATGAAAGTGGGTTTCCTGTCGCGGGAGCCATAAAGAGCATGCAGGCGTGTGCCCTTTCAGTGCGACATCCTTCCTCACGCCGATGGCCTCTTAACTGTGTGTGTGTGGTTGATGGAAATAAGCCAGTTGGGGCCAGTGAACTTTCACGCTGTACTGAGTTATTGTTTTTGCACGCTGAACACAGAGCCGTAAGGTCAGGCTTACATTAGAAGAATCAGAATCTGCTTTATTGGTCGAGTGTTAACACATGCAGGCAAAGAAGAGGTCTTTATTGGTGTGATGAAGCCAGATTAAGTACTGGGGGGTGTCATCTCCCCCACCCCTCCAGTTCCTACGCCCCTGCATACAGGACATGTCTCCAGGTGTCAGTGGCTTGCAGACATACACATTGAAGGCAAAGTAATCGGCACAGATAGTCCAGCTGATATTTAAAGGGGCTGCCATGTATGGTGTCTCTGCAGCACATTACAGCTCTGAAGCTCCTCTCATGGGGCCTCGCTCACATCCCCTTTTTGTGTCTGACTCTCCTTGGGTCTGGGCCGCGCCTGCACCACCGTAGAATCTTCCAGACCTCAGTGGCGTCTCCCTGGCGTTTGCCTGATCTGTAAACACACCCCCTGCTGCCTCTGCACATCCACAGGAAAGGAGGGTGTCGCCGGAGGACAGGCTGAGCCGGCGGAAATCCCGTCTCCAGTGCCGCCGGCCTTGAGGCCCTCAGCGGGGCCCGTGGCTCTGTGTGGATCCAACACGCCGCGCAATCTGGGCTCGTTTGCAATGTCTTTCGTTTGCAGAGACCTCATGTACAGGAAATGAGGTGCTGGGGGACATGCAGAGTACAGCGGTGTGAGCAGGGGACCAGCAGGAGCAGGCCTGTCGCTCACGGTCTGGTGTCTCACTTCCTGTACAGACCTCCTGAAACAAGGAGACCCCTGCCCTCTTCAGCCTGTGGTCTGGGCTTCTCCCTCTGCCACAGCGAGAACACTGCAGTAAGCAATCACAAGGCGACAACGCCTAAATGTACATTTCAGGGGGATTTGTCACCCGAAACAGCTCATTGCTGCCGCCGCTCTGCAGCCCGTGGAGACGGATCAGTGTAACAGCCACGGGATTGACCTGAAAAATGGAAAAAACTTTCTGCCGCCTTCTGCAAAGGAGTGGCTGCAGCAGGCCGGCTAGCAAACTTGGCGTCTGTAGTCGAAGTCCGCGATTCCGCGGCGCCTCGCGCACCAGGTGGGGGGGGGGTTGACCACACGAGGGGTGTGTGAGCTGCAGGTGTCTGATGTCTATGTGCCGTACGGTGGCTTTGGCAGCTGTGCAGGAAGGTGCCGACCTTCTGCTGCCGTCTCGTTTTGTGAATGGGGTCACGCTCTTCGAACGCGTCGTGTCTCTAAGTCTCTTGCTCCATTTCACTGCGGTTTCCTTCTTGTGCCTCCCTGCTGAATATCGCTGTGCGCACGTGGGCGTCGCTCGTTGTTTATTTTCCGGTTTCTGTTTGACAAAGGAAGTGTGGGATCACTCTCTCTCTCCAGATCCGCTACTGCGTGCGGCTGCACTGGCTGCACTGGGGACTAAGGGGCTGCACCTTCTCCACATCTATACATCATACTTTTTTTGAGAAATCAGGTATAGACAGACCCTGGAGCAGTTGAGGATTAAGGGTCTTGCTCAAGGGTCCAATTGTGACATCACTTCATCGATTCTGGGATTCGAACCAATGACTTTCCAATCACAGGCATAGCATTCTAACCCAGTGATCCACACAGCGCCCCCTTTCTGCTGCTCTGCACGCACGATGTGGGCGCGTGGGCTGGGCGCTGGGGCTGCCGGCTGGCGGCTGGGATCCACCAGTGTGGTAGGTGTTCTCTCCTGAACCTCTGCCCCTCCACATGAGACGCTGTCAGGTGTTCTTGCTGCATCGGCGACTTTCTGCAGCCTCACCCCGGGTGGGGGGGGGGCGTGTCGTGGAAAGCCGCTAATCCCCCCCCTCCCCCAGATCAGTGGGGGACTCTCTCAGTCAACACAGCATATCTTGTTTCAATTTTTTGTTTTTCTTCCAGCTTGTGCTGGGTTTGTATCACCACGCTTTTGCCAGTTTGCCCATGCTTGGCCATGACGGCACAATCAGGGTGATCAGGCCTTGTGAAACCTGGGCAGGAAAGCCGGCCCTCTGCCTGGAGACTCTGCCACATTTGCTGTCCATGTGGGTCTTGCTGAACTTGCATAATTAAGGTCCCTCTTTCAAAGGATTCCTCCTCCATTGTCTTCTCACATTCTTTCTTCCTCTCTTTCCCAGTTCATGCACCATTTTGTTTAATCAGTGTTGCCACACACTCTCGTCAAGTGCCTTGTGTTGTGAGAGGCGCTATATAAAAATGAACGGAGTTTGAATGGACTGTTTGGATTGGACCGGCAGCCACGTTGCTTTTGTCGTGAGCTTTCTTCTGAGTGTGGGATCTGTGCATGGCCGCTTTAGGCTGCAGCTGTAAGCACTTTTCATGCTGACACGCAGGTAAAAGTCGGTGGAACAGGAAGTCCCGAATGAGCAGGTCTGTCTGCTAAGCCTGGGGCTCGCGTTTGCTCTGCAACGTGGCTGAACGGCCGCACCCCCTTCTTCCATGGGAGAGGCCTCATGAACCCGGCGCCAGGGTTTTCCATGGGCCTCCCTTGGACGCTTTGTCCCGGCGATAGCATCAGCACTTCCGTGCCCGTAATGGCTGTTGTCTTTTCCCGATGACTTCCTGGCGAGTGGAGCACTTACCGGCAGAGGCTGGGGGCGGGTCGGAGCCAAGGAAATCCACTGTTTACTTTAATGATACTTTTAAGAGAAGAAAAACACACCTGCTTTCTCTTCCGGAGCTAAACTCCGCTGAGACCTTCTGCAGCACAAATGATGCAGCATAAGTGCAACAGAATGCTTCATTCATGTTCATGTTTCTGAGATAGAAGATATTCATTCATATATACTTTTAAGAAGGACTTTTGTTAATAATGTTGTTAAATTAAGAAGTTTCTTTAGTATATAACCAAAGAGCTGAGCTGCTTTTCATGGTCAGGGCTTCTAGGTGAGGCTGGATTGTGGTTTCTGAATGGAAAAAAAAAAACCTAGAATAAAATGGAAGGAAGATTTAAAGATATTTTGTTCCGAGCCAATGTTACTCCGAGATGAACATGCTGTGTCTTCATGCTCCAAAGCCTGGAAGCTCTTCAGCCAAGACTGTCAGCAGAACCGTACATTTTTTCCCATACATTTTGTTCTTTGTGGAACTGCAAGTTATTTAAATAATTATGGGATGGGATGTGGTTGAAAGATGGACGGGTATATAAAGCATTTTTTTAATAAGTTTATATGAATGATTAACATGTACAGAGATCACACCTGGTCTGCGCATGAAGTTTTAGCAGTGAATGGTAGATTCTTGTAGATTCTGGAAATGGACATTATCTCCCAGGTGGTTCCGTGTGACCCAGTGAATGAGTCGAATGGACAGCTGGTCCACCCGCGTGGTACAGAGCTTCTAGGGCTGGTGCTACAGCAATGTCTGCTTGGCTCTAATAGGCATGACTCAACCAGGTTAATGCCTCTTACTGGGATCCGGTTAAGCACAGCTGACAGGTGACATCCAGGAGTGTCGGGTGAAAAGGATTGTGGGGGATGACCTCCATCATCAGTTTCATAACAAGTCTGTGAAACCTCACAGCCCCAGGACTGAGGGTGTGAGTTCTATCCCTGTTCCCCCAGTGCTGTGCAGGTTCCCTCCCAAAGCCTGAGGCCCTGCAGTTTGGAGAATCGGTGTCTCTAAATTGCTTGTAGTATGTGTGGACTGAGCCACTAACCTACTGAGCCGCACAGAGGGATATAAAGTGTGGAACACAGTGGCACATTCATGGTGTGCTGAGGCTTCTCATTGTGCATCATCAGCACATGGTTGAGCACACAGATCTACATTTACACAGTCCAGTCCCCTTTCTTCCTTTATCTCTGACATCCTCCATCACTATGCAGTCAAGCCTGTTGTGAGGCATTCATTGCAGCCCGCTCCCCCCCCCCAGGCATCCTGATAAATCCATAAACCGTCATAGTTCCAAGCCCTTCCTGAAGAGACGCTTTCGAGTGGCTGATCTTCACGCCATTGAGGGATGCCGTGAGCGTGTGTCACGTGATTAAGGAAGCAGCCTGACACTGAAGTCGAGCTGCTGTGATGGCTTCCTGCAGTCGGTGACTGTCCCCAGTGCAACAGCGGGCAGCCAGAGTGACCTTTTCACAGAGCTGAGGCAGAGGTGGTCTTGTCAGGATCAGCCTTTAGCTTTCCATCTGTCACTAATGCTCTGTGTACAGTATAGGCACAGATATAGGCCATTCTCGATTCTAGTTTTTACCTCAGCCTCCATGAAAAATCATCATTCTAAACCAGTGTTTCCCAGTCCGGTCCTCGGAGACCCACAGATGGTCCATGTTTTTGACCCTCCCAGCTCCCACAGCAACAATGTGAGCTGTCCGGCAGGGAGCTGGGAGGGAACAAACATGTGGACTGTCTGTGGATCCCCGAGGACCGTATTGGGAAGCACTATTCTAAACCGATTCGACGATTTCACCTTGTATTTCTTTGAGGCTGAACACCCCTAAAGGTCAAATGCCCCTGGGCAGAGGTACTGGCACACTTGTCAAAACCCACCTTCACGACAGTGACCTTTCAAAGCATCGCTGACATGTTCTAGGCAGGTTCTAAATGGCCAGATAAAAGCTTCTGTTTGCCTGGCTGACCCAGCCGGGGCGATTATAGCTAAATATGTGGCATTTATGGACACCCATAATCTCACTAACTACAGGGAGGCATTTTCAAAAGGCACTTGTTGCTCTGTGCCAGGGTCATGTGCGGGCATCTCTGTGGCGCTCTAGAACCAGAGGTTCTGAACATATTGCTGAAGTGGGC